ATCCACTGGGGAAGCCAAAAGGTACCGGTACCGCAACTCCCTGGACCTCTCCTGGGATGCGTTCTGACCAGGGTTTCGAGGCGAATCCAGTGGTGGCGACGAGGGCCTCCGATGAGGCCCAGAAAAGGGAGAACGGGCAGAATGTAGAGGTATGTGTACCTGTTATCCTTGTCCTCCTCTTCTGACCCACCCCGCGGACCGCGCCGGGCGGGGAGGGGCAAGGCCTGCCGAACCATGGCCGAATGGCCCCCGTGCGCGCGCACCCCGACCGACAAGGGGCCACACCGCGCCGGGGCGGGGCAGCCGAGCCGACGTCCGCGGGGCCCTGGTGGCCTCTGGAGGTTTTCTCGGCGGCTCCGCACCACCATGCACTGAAGTCGACGCCAGGACGAGGACACAATCGGGTGTGGATGAATCCTCCGCCTCCTCCTCCTCCTCCTCCTCGTCCTCCGCCTCCTCCTCCTCCTCCTCCTCATCCTCCTCGTCCTCCTCGTCCTCCTCGTCCTCCTCGTCCTCCTCCTCCTCCTCCTTCTCCTCGACGTGGCCCGCCGGCGGCGGGGCCGCCGCCGGCCGACAGCCGGCACGACGCGAACCTCTCGTGACCTGAGGTCGGGCGCGTCCCCCTACAAGCAGTGTTCGGGAGAGAAGAACACCCCGGAACTCATAACAAAAAAAAAACAAATCGGAGAAAAGATCGTCCCCACACTTTGTCCTGCTATTTTTGGGCTCTCGTAAACTTAGGTCGCGCGCGTCCCCCTACAAGCAGTTTTTGGGAGGGAAGAACAACCTGGAAATCATAACACAAAAACTAAACATCATAGAAAAGGTCGTCCCCACACTTTGCTCTACTATTCTTGGGCTCTCTTCCTGTGGAACGACCTGCCCGACTGCGCCGCCGCCTCCCCGCGCAGCGAGGCTCGGAGGAGGAGCGTGAGGACCTCCGCCGCCCAGAGCCCCCGCCGGCGGGCGGCGGAAGCCTGGGCGGTGGCACGCCCGAGCGCCGCCCTGCACGGGGCCGAGGCTCGGGCGTACAGTCGGGGCGTTGACCTAAGCAACCCTAAATAAGGAACGAGGCCCCTTTTTTCCATGGGTCAAACTTCGATTTCCCGTCGAAAACACCAGGACCGAGTGTACCATTAAGTCGGGCGTGCCCCCCCACAGGGGGATTTCGAGCGAAACAAAAAAAAATACCCACAACGATGCCCCCAAAATGGGCAAACATAGTCAAGCCATCGTCCCCATACTATGTTTTGCCTATCTTTGAACTTCCCCCTGTAGAGGGACAGGCCCGACTTGAGCGTACCACCGCAGGAGGAGGCGGAGGAACTAGAGGAATGACAGCCTTCGCGTAGCGACAATTCAGCGAGAAACAGCGCACAAGAGCAGGGGACGCTCGAGTGCGCGGCCGCATCGTTCCCCTAAATATGCAGAGAGCGGTCGGGCGCGAAGACAGCCCCAAAAAGTTCCCCCGAGCGGCCAGACAAGTGTGCCGATGTATGGATACTAAGCTGATCTGAAGGGAGCTCAATGAGGCACTAGCGCACAGCGATCAACGTTCAACCCGACAGCGAAGCGGATCGCCCACTCGACGAGGAGGCCGCTGAGGAGGGTCGGCCCCCCACCGATGGGTTCTCGGTGGTGGTCGGGGAAGCCAAAAGGTATACCGATACCGCTGCCCCCCGGACCTCTCCCAGGGTGCGCTCTGACCAGGCCTTCGAGGGGAACCCAGCGGTGGCGACGAGGGCCTCCCAGGAGCCCCCCCCCAGAAAAGGGGAAAACGGGCGAGGGGGTAGAGGCATGGACCCCTCTTCCTCCTCCGAGCGGTGGTGGCCCTTCCTGTGGGAGTCCCGAGATGGTGCGGTGACAGACCGTGCGGGGACCTCGAAATCCCCCAAGACCTCACCGCACTGTCCGTCGACGCACGGCTTTGGGGCCTTCGACGCCCCAGCCGCCCGAGGCGTCCTCGGAGCCCGACCCGAGCCCCCCAAACCGTGCGGAGGGAGGAGGGAGGAGGGAGGGAGGAGGAGAGGGAGGGAGAGGAGGAGGAGGAGGAGGGAGGAGGAGGAGAGGGAGGGAGGGAGGGAGGGAGGGAGAGAGGGAGGAGGAGAGGAGGGGAGGGAGGGAGGGAGGGAGGAGGGAGGGAGGGAGGGAGGAGGGAGGGAGGGAGGGAGGGAGGGAGGGAGGGAGGGAGGGAGGGAGGGAGGGAGGGAGGGAGGGAGGGAGGAGAGAGGAGGAGGAGGAGGAGGAGCGAGGAGGAGAGGAGGAGGAGGCGGAGTCCTCCTCCTCGGGCCGCCAGGCCCGGCGGGCCGAGGTCCGCGACGGGGGGCGCCCGCGGGCCGCGCGCGGGGGGCGGCGGGGGTGCTGCGCGCGAGCCGGCGGCGGCGGCGGCGGCCACGGGCGCTCGCGGCAGCGCGCGGCGCGCGCGCGCGCTCGCTGGCCCCTCCAGGAGGCGGCGGCCCGTGCGAGAGGGAGGGGGAGGGCAAGGCGCCTGGAGGTCGAGCCTGCTGCAGCCATGCTGCTGGCTGCCGAGGCCCGTGCGTGGGGCGCGTGGATGGTAGCGGCCTCTCGCAGGTGTCACGGTCGGGAGCCCGAGGGTGGCAGGATGGGGGGGGAGGCGAGGAGCAGGAGGGACGAGGGGGGCAGAAGAGAGATAGAGAGAGAGAGAGAGAGAAAAAAAAAAAGAGCGAGAGAGAGGGAGGCGAGGAGGGCGGGGGGGGGGGGAGGGGGGGAGGCAAGAGGGAGGCGAGGAGAGAGGGGGGGGGCAGGGGGAGGCAAGAGGGAGGAGGGAGCTGCTCCCCGACACCTCCCTCGCGGGGGCACGCCTGCGGACAAAAACGAGGGCGCACCCCGTGGCCCAACGCCCCCACCGCATGCCATGCGTGCTCCAGGCGGTGCGGCCAGAAAGCGCCCCCCCACCGAGCATGTCCTGAACTGAGCGCGTGCGTCATCCCCTGGTGGGAGCCTCTTCGCCGGCGCGTGCCTCTTCGCACCGCGACGCCCTGCCGGCGCGCCGCCGAGCACACGCTGGCGTCGGGAGAGCGACCCCCCTTTGACGCGTTGCGGCGGCGCCGAGCAGGCACGCCCAGAGAGCACGGGACCAACCGAGGCCGACTCGGGAAACCAGATGATATCGGAATGTGCGCCAGGTCGGGCCGCATCGGCGACCACGACGACGACGACGACGATCACGATTACAACGATCATGTTTACAACGACGACAACGCACGACGCACGGCGCACGACGCACGACGACCACGCCGACGACGACGACGACGCCGTCGCTGACGCCGACGCCGAAGCCGACGCTGACGACGACGCCAGCGCCGACGCCGACGCCGCCGCCGCCGCCGACGACGACGACGATCGTTGAGTGATGCCGTTCAGGACTCCCACTGGTCAATATGTCCCATGGCCGCTATGACGATCGGAAAGCACGCCAAGCCAACACGATGCTTGATCCGCGGGCCTGGCAACCGCAAAGGAGGTGGTCCGAGTGGAGAGGCAACCGAGGCACGGGACGCTCCTCCTGAACAGCCAGCGGCGGATCCGACTTGGCCCCCACATCTTCGGGCGATGTACGATCTCGAACTGCCTTATCGGGCGCATGCTGACATGGATTAGGGATCTGTGGATCTGGCGCTCGGGCGCCAGATCCGCGCATCGGGGAAGGCACCCTCGAAGCGGGAGGCCAATGCCGCCCGAATCGGGGACTGAACGCGGCGATCCTGCATTGACACGGGACACCTCGTGAATTAATCCCCGCGCCTGGATCTATGTTTGCTCTGGCACGGCAGGTTCGTGTCGCGTGTCGACCCTTGCGTTGGTTCCTGGTTCCTGACTCCGCGGGGGCGTTCAACCTTGAACGGTCGGCCGTTTCAAAAACCCAAGATCGCTCAACGATGGGCCGCTCCTGGGCTACGGGCGGCGTTCAACCTTGAACGTCCGCGCTGGGGTCGCCGCTGGTCGACACGACGCGAACCTACCGTACGCTCCGCACAAGTGTCCGACGGTCACACGCGCAAAGGGTCACAGCTCGAGCAGCACCTGTGCAGGCGTAAAGTCAGAGAAGAGAGAGAGAGAGAGAGAAAGAGAGAGAGAGAGGCGGCCTCCGCTGCGAGAGGGTCAGAGATCTCCATCGCCGTCCTGTTGGCAGAGCTGGCTGCGTGTGCTTGGGCCGCCTCAGAGCTCCCCAAATCTGCTTCTGGGGCACCCAGCGCTGTCCGAGTTGGGTCCGAGTTGGGCGAGACTTGGAACACATGTGGGACCGGATTCGGACTGGGTCCGCCTCTTCGCCAGGCAGACGAGAAGAAGAAGGGGGAGGGGGAACAGGAAGGGCGAGGCAGAGCAGGAAGAGAGGCCACACAAGGTCCAAGTGCAAGAAAAACAGATTTCGATGTTGCCGTTCAAGGCTCCCATGAACGGACATTCAATGCATATGTTAAGATATCTTGCTACAAGAAGGCTAGTCGGTTGTGAGGAACCGAGCGGGATCCTGGTGTACACATGTTTCGTCGTTTCCCCGGGAGAACGGGGACAACAAGTATACACCACACCACCCCGACGTCGTCCCCGACCCTCCAAAAGTCCTGGGATTGCAAAACACAGCCCGCCGCTGGTAATGCATAGACGTTCCAGTTTCCGACATAAAAGCTAGAGACACACTGTTCGGCAGATTATAGACTGCGCGGGGAGGAGGAGGAGGAGGAGGAGGAGGAGGAGGACGAGAAGGGGGAGGATCGGGGATCTTCTGACCTGGGTCAATCCAGACCCGGGTCAGCAGGAAACCAAAAACTGCAATGCAGGAAGAAAAACTGCAACGCAGGTCTTCGCAAACCCGGGTCAGCCGATATCTGCGGCCGCCTCGCGGCCACGAGCGGCTCGCTAACCCGGGTCAGCCAGAGGGGGTCTTCGCAGGATCCTGCAGGATCTGGCGCCCTGGCTGACCCCCGTTTGCATTGACCCCCGTCTCAAGGCCCCCGAGAGGAGGAGGCTCGAGCAAGGGTGCCCGGGGTCGCCGAAGGGTGCGGACCAATCTACCTCGAGGGCACCTGCGGGCGGGCGCATTGCGTACCCGTGGCGCGCCCACAGTACAGGTGCCCGAACAGTGACGAGGCCTCGGGACGCACACCGTGGCGCTGACCCCCCGCGGCGCCTCGGCCCTCGGGCGGTCGCTCCTCGGCGCCCTCTGCGCCGGGGGGGGGGCACGCTGCCAGAGGGCGGCCGCGGAGCGCCGTGGCCGTGAGAGGGGTCCTGCTGGATCGGGCCCGGCGAAAGGGGGGGATAGCAAAGGGGGGGTTGAGAATCAGCTCACGTAGCTGATTTTCCCGGCGCCTCCCGGCGCCGGAGGCGGCCATGTATCGAGGAATGGGCCCCTCGGTGACCGAAACCAGCTGCATGCATGCAGCAGATTTCGTAACCCCCCCTTTCCTAATCCCCCCCTTTCGCCCGACCCGACTGGAGGAGGCGGCGTTGGACGATGACAGAGCCAACAGCGAATCCAGTAGAAAAAAAACAAGCACTGACGTAAACACGACACCTCAGAGGCACGCGCGGGTCTCTCGGATCGGCGCTGGAGCGCGCCAGAGGCGGCGCCCGAGGCGCCGTCGAAGGGGGTCCAACGCCGTTTCCGGGGAATCCGCGCGGGCCGCCGAGTCTTTGTGCTCCTGGCAGTCTCTGTATCCCCGAGATGGGCTCGGGTGGGCTCGCCGCCGTGGGGACCCCCATCAGCGCGATGCGGTCGAGCATAAAAACACAGGCGATGGATCGCACAAAGGCGAAGAAGCAACACGCTGACGGGCTCTCCACGGCGGCACGTCGCTGGTGCTCTCCTTGTCCCTCCCGGGGGGTAGGGCGAGGAGGAGAAGGCCAGGAGGGTAAGCAGCAGGGTCGGGCGCGCGATCCGGCGCAGGAGCAGCGGCAACAGGAGGGCGATGCAGTGGATGTGCTTCAGATCTCGGTATTACTCGACGCCGCGCCGACGAGGCGTGCGCTGATCACACTGCACAACCGCGTCAGGGCCCGCTGCAAGGAGCGACGACCTGCCACTCAATCCCTACAACCTGACACCTCAAGCACGGAGCGGGACCCTGACCGGGTAGCGGTTGGATCATTCTCGGGCCCGGCGAAAAGGGGGGATAGCAAAGGGGGGGTTGAGAATCAGCTCACGTAGCTGATTTTCCCGGCGCCTCCCGGCGCCGGAGGCGGCCATGTATCGAGGAATGGGCCCCTCGGTGGGGCTGAAACCAGCTGCATGCAGCAGATTTCGTAACCCCCCCTTTCCCGATCCCCCCTTTTCGTCTAGCCCGACATGCGGCAACGAGCAGCCGCTGTTCAAAAAAATACCATGGCTCCGCCGCCGACTCCGCAGCAAGCAGGGGGGTCGGCCGCACAAAGGTCGGGAGCGGCCAAGAGGGGGGGGGCCAAGAGGGGGGGGTGCAAATCATGACCGGCGGCATGTGCGCGGCCCAGCGGGGGGGCCTGGGACGTAATGAAACAAGAAGAGGCGCCATGAAATCTGAGGACAAATCATGGCCCGCGCCATGAAATCCACCCCCCCCAGTCATCACCCCCCTCTTTTCCGCCCCCGAACAAAGGTCGACCCGTGGCGACCCTGCCACCGCCCGGGCCCGGGCCTGGCGAGACGAGAGGCGCTTTACCACTTGGTGGACTGGTCGAGGACGTAGGCCGCCACGTCGTCGATGTCGTCGGGGCCAAGCTTGTCGCCGAACGCCGGCATGGAGCCCTTGCCGTTCGTCACCTGAGTCTTTATGGCGGCGGCGTTGTAGCCGCCCGTCAGGTACTGCTCGATGGCCGCCTTCCTCAGGGTCTTCTCCGCCACCACGCTGTTGTTCCCGCCCGCGTGGCACGCCGCGCAGTTGCCCAGGAAGACGCTCTCGCCTGGCTGACTGGCCCGGGCACTGGTTGCCATGATGAAATGACAAGCTGGTCCTGAGGGAAACGAGTCCTGGATTTAGGTCGGGCATGTCCCCCTGCAGGCGGATCTTGGACGAACGGAAAGAACACGTATACTCAAACAATACTCAAGAATAGGCAGAATAATAGTTGCAGAACTCGTCCCCAGACCATTGGCTGACTACCTTTGAATCATCCCCCCTGTAGAGGGACAGGCCCGACGTGTAGTCCTGGAGCCCGGGCCACCCCTCCGAACCAGCTCGGCACCCCGCAGACCGTTCTCTCGGCCCCTGTGGGCCCGTGGAGGGCCCCCGGGCCCCCCGCGAGAACGGCCGGCGGTGAACACCTCGGGGCCCGCCTTCCCTCGGGACCTGCAGACCCCCTGCAGGGCGCACCCACGGCCGCGGCGGCGAGCGTCCCTCCGAGAGCCATCCGGAGAGAGCTTAAGCAACAGAAAATGGGCGATGCAAGTCGTAAGCATTCGCTCCTGGCTTCCCCCCTCCTGGGCCCACGAGGGACACCCGGGCCCCATCCCGACGGGCAACCTTCGGTCCCGGATCCATGTTCGACTTTCGGTGGCCGCGGGCACGACCTCCCCCCCAAGAATGCCGGAATCGGGGACGCACCACCCAAGGTCAACAGGACACCGGGGTCGGCCGAGGCCCTGTCACTGTCGCGATGCCCGGCCGGCTGCTCAGCAGCCCTCGAGCCCCGGGTCAGCGGAAGGCGGAATCGGGGGAGCGGCCCCACGAGGCTCCCGACTCCGGGTCAGCCAGAGGGGATGGGGCGACCCCCCGTACTGGAAGAACAAAAAACAGCAGAAACATAAACTTTCGGCGCCGCCAGGGGTGCCCAGCGCGGCCCAAAGAAACCCGCGCGTAGCGCCAGAAGTTTATGTGTATGCCGTTATTATTATTATTATTATTGTTCTTCTTCTTATTCTTCTTATTTCTTCTCCTGCTTCGACCTACTCAGCGAAAGTGGAACATAACACGCTGGATCTGAACAACAGAAACCATCAGTCAACCCGCCGGGGGTATGGGCACTCGGCGTGCTCGAGGCCCGCCACGAGCGTGTTCTGTTCGGGATCTCGGGGCGAGCCCAGTGCGGGTAATACTTATGTCTATATCCACTGCAGTATGGAGTTTCGGGCTCCCTTCCCAGGAAACCCGAGGCGCACTGGATATGGATAAATTTGCCCCCTAGAGGCTCGATTTTTATCCATATCCAGTGCGCCTCGGCCTTGTGGCGCCGCTTCCAAAAAAAGTCCACGAGGTACTGGATATGGACATGAATCTTGCCCGCACCCAGCAGCGGCGACGAGGGCCCTTCCAGGAGCACCCGCCCAAGCAGGCAGACAACACCTCGAGGTGCCGGTGCCTTGCGGGGCCCCCGCGGAGACCTCGACCTCGCTCCCGTGGGAGGGTGCCAGGTGGGCCTTCCTGGGGGCCTCCGTGGACCTCCGCGGCCCCGTCGTGCACGTGATTTCGACTGGAATCCGTCCAGATTGCGACCAACACTGCAGGGTCGTGTCAGAACCCCCCCCGAATAGTGGAAACTAATTATCACTTCGACGCCCTCTCTTGGCAGGGGACCCCACTGTATAACTTCGACGCCCTTCGTTGAAGGACTGCGGCCCCACCAGTAGCGGAAACTGACTACTGGCAATCGCTCGGGCGTCCATTCCCCGTGCTTTTGTTCGGTTTCGTGCGTGTGTTTTTCGCCCAATGATCAAGGATGCTCCTCGATGGTCCTCGCCGAACAAAAAAAAATATACACGTCCGAGCGATGCCAGGACTGCTCTTCGCCGCGTGGCGCCCCCCCAATTTGCGGGCCACAGCTCGGCTCTCCGGCGGCCGCTTGGTACGGCCCGCCTCCCCCCCGCCCCCCCCCCCTCCCCGGGAGGCGCTCGGCGAGGCGCAGCTGCCGGAGAGCACCCTCCGAGGCTGACAGGACCGGGGAGAGCAGGCGAAAACGAACGAAAACAGCCATCCCGCCCTAACGTTGCCACGGATGCCCCAGCCCCCCCTTCTGTGGCAACTCCTGGGAGCCTCCCGTGCCACCTTGCTGGCTCGCGCGAAGCGACGTGAACTGGCGCAAATCGACGCTCATGGACGCTACAGATCCACGCTGAGTCGACGCTAAGCCGGCGCTTCCTCATCGATTCTCATGCGGCAACGCGCGCACATGCGCTCTAACAGCGGAAACTCGAGAACCTACAAGGCCCCCCATGATTTGCTACGGAATAAGCCATCTCCCCCCCAACGTTGCCACTGATGCCCCCCCTCGCCGTTCTCGAGGTCCGCCGCCAGCGCCGGCCGCCCGCCCATCACGGCGACCATCAGCCCGAGGGCGGCCCCAATGGTCGGAAGAGGGCCAGTTGAGACATGGGCGCGGACACCCGAGCCCGACCCCCACCAACCACCGATTCTCCTGAATCGATGGGAGGCGGGGACAGGGTCCGGATTTGGCCACTTGTTCGACGAACCCAAAGGCCTGACCCCGCCGTCCATCGCATTACCTGAATCGTTGATCAGCCAGGGTACAGTCGGGGCCCTGAAGAAGGAACCCTTTTCGTTGGGGAGGAACTCCGCGTTCCTGAAGTGTTTCACAGCTTGCCTCTGGCTTTCCTTATGTCTTCGACAGGAAATCGAAGGTTAACTCATGGAAAAAAGGGGCCTCGTTCTCTTATTTGGGGTTCCTCAGGTAGGTCAAGGCCCCGACTGTAGGGTTCGGACTTCGCCGCCGAAGACAACGGCGGCCCTCCCGCCTTGCCCAAACACGCTCCAATCGGTCCCTGGACCCCTCCCCGGCCTCGTCCTGGCCCGTTGTGAGGCGAGCCCAGCCGTGGCGACGAACAAGCCTGCAGGAGGCCCGAGGAGGCCGAAGGCCACCAAAAAGGGCCGTCCCTCCTCGTGTCGACCCGACGTCGTGACTTCTTCGTGACCGTGGACCCCCCGGCGCCCGGACCCGTTCTCAGGGACAGGCGCTTCATCCCGAGTCTTTCCGTCGACGGTCCCGTTGGATGCTCCCTCTGGGGACCTTCCTGGAGGCACTCGCTCCACTCGTGCGTCGAAGCTGCGTCGAACGTCCGTCGACTTGCGTCGACCTTGAGTCGAACCTGAGCCGAACCTGAGCCGAACTTGAGTCGAACTTGAGTCGAACTTGACCCGAAGAGGGGTCAGAGTAGAACCGAACAGATCCGTTAGGTGGGCCCCAGGAAGGCCCCTCAAAGCGAGCATCCAAGCAAGGCCGGGCGAGAGCCCCGTGGGCCAATCCCGTCGCGCGTGTGCTCGCACAATCCCGTCGCCCGTGGAACATACTTCAGCACAATCCCGTCGCGCGTGTGCTCGCTGCGAGAGGGGGCATGGGGGGAAGGCCGCCGGTGCCGCGGCTAGCCTTGGTGTCCGGTCCACGGGAACAGGACGCAAGATGGCGATGGCCCGCGACCCACCCGCGACCCACTCGCGGCACACCCGCGAGACACCCGCGACCCACCCCGCGACACACCCACATTGCTTTCACGAAACATCGGAGCCTGCGGCGGGCACGCTGCATGAATTGTAAAAATTTGGCGCCTGCGGCGGGCTTCTTCATAGCCTCGGAGACTGCAAGCATCCCCTCCGCCCCCTCACCCTTATCCGCGACTTCAGGGTGCTATCTATCTATATATATATGTATGTGTATATATATATATATATGAGTATGATGGGGTCCCGCCGATTGAGGGGGGACGATCGAAAAATACTTTGCGACGCTTGTAGGCATTTGGTGGACCGGCATTGAAAACATTGGTTTACTTCTGAAAGGAACTCCACACTACTCATCCCCAGGTAGAGGCCCTGTCTTCTCATCAGCTCCTACTGTATCTCTGAATACCACCGCTCCTGCTGCAAATCTCAACAGACTCCCAAACATGGCACCTGGACCATCTTCCGCGTAGCTCTCCAGCACCGATCCGAGACGTCAGCGAAGACCTCCGAGTTGTTATGCTTATGGCACTGTCCGTTCTCCGACTGACATCCATGGACCTCCGTTCTCTTGGATCTGCGCTGGGCCCCCTTCCCTGGCGCGCGGAGCGCGCCGAGGGCGGCGCCAGAGACGCCGCCAGGGGTACCCAGGCGCCGATCTCCAAGAAATCCGCGCGGAGCGCCAGAAGTTTATGTTTATGGCGTTCCTCGTCGAGTCCATGGGCCTCCAGCGGCGATGCATTGGCGATGCAACTGCGATGCCGGCGATGCATCGGCGCCGTCGGCGTAGCAAGAGTCGGGCCCCGCATCGAGCCGCATCCCCGATGTATCGGGGATGAAGCGCGGCGATGCGGCGCGATCCTTCGACCCCATCTGCTTCGACCCCATCTGGGATGCGTAGAATCCATGGACCTCCAGCCTGCCCCGCTCAGAGATGTTGTTTTCTTCAAAACCAACGACTGCTCAAAGTTATGTATGATTTAGGTGTATTGAGGTGTGTACAGGTATGTTCGAATCCCACGGGTGTTTTAATATTATGTTGATGTATATGGTGTTTAAACTTTATGTTTTTGTCGGGCCTGTCCCCCTACAGGCAGATCTTCGACGAAAAAAAAGAAAATACGCCGCAAACAATCAACAAACGACAGAAATAGCAGAAGAAATCGTCCCCATACTGGTTTTTCAACAATAAAAACTATTTTCATAGATCCCCCCTGTAGAGGGACGGGCCCGACTTAAGTTTATGTTTTAATGGTGTTGCTTTAGTTTTCCCCGCATCCATGGACCACCAATCGGGCCGGGCGAAAGGGGGGGATAGCAAAGGGGGGGGTTTGAGAATCGGCTCACGTAGCCGAGTTTCCCGGCGCCTCCAGGCGCCGGAGGCGGCCATGTACCGAGGAGTGGGCCCGGCGGCGGGGCCGAAACCAGCTGCGTGCAGCAGCTTTCGTGACCCCCCCTTTCCCTATACCTCCCCCCTTTCGTCCGGCCCAATTTCGTGACCCCCCCTTTCCCTACTCCCCCTTTTGTCCAACCTGCCCCCCTCCGAGATGGCCAGCGGGCTCCACGCGGCGCCGCCGCCCGCGGCCGACGCGGCCTCCTCCCGAACGGCGAGGTCGCGGGCGGCGCCCGGGCCGCGGGCGGCGCTCGGGGCGGCCGTGGGCTGCGCGGGGGCCACGAAGCCGCTCGCACCTCAGAGGGGGGGGGGATGGGGAGGCTGCCAGATAGACTGCTAGGTTGAAGTCGGGCCTGTCCTCCCACAGGGGGACTTTGGACGAAAGACAAAAAATAGTCCAAAACTACCCCCAAATGGTCAGAAAATACTTTTAAAATAGTCCCCCGACTATTTTTTACTACTTTTGAGTATTCCTGTAGAGGGACAGGCCCGACTTAATGCTAGGTAAACGAAGAATGACATACTCATGACAACTCGGAGGTCCGCGCGGGTTTCTCGGATCCGCGCTGGACCCCCCTGGCGGCGCCTCCAGCGCCGCCCCTGGCGCGCTCCTCGCGCCAGGGAGGGAAGTGAGGAGAAAAAGTGAGAAGAAGGCGGGGGGACGTGAGAAGGAGTAAGGAGAAGGAGAAAGTGGATCGGCGGCGAGGCAGGGGGGGGGAAGTGAGAAGGAGAAGCGCTTCTCAGAAGGCGGCGGGACTTCTCAGAAACCCTCGCTCCTCCCGATAGGTGTTTTAACATGTCTTCGGGGAAGGCTTGGACAACTTCTCAGAAGGCAGGAAGACTTCCGAACCTTCTCAGAAGGCCTTCTCCTTCCCACTTTCCTCTCTCGCCCGCCGCCGAATATTCTCGATTGTCAAGATGACTACGTTTGAGCAGCATGGGCAAGCGGATGGGCGCCGTTTGCCTTAACGTTTCAGCACTTACGCCACCAACGCATTTGGGGAGTAGAGGCCTCCCAGATGGGGCCCGAGTAGATGAGGTCGGAGGATCGCGCCGCATCGCTCCAGTGACGCTGGCGATGCATCGGCGACGTCGGCATGAAAACATCGGGCTCCGCAGCGAGCCGCATCGCCGTTGCATCGTCGATGCGGCGCGATCCTCCGATCCCATCTACCCCGACCACGTCCAGGAGGCCTAGAGGGAGGGAATCGAATATGATCGAGCTCTGGGGGCATTCAGTCAGATCGTCAGCTCGTGCGAAGCCTGGGCCACGCCTCGCAAGTTCTCCTCGGCCCATAACACGGCGATATACCTGCTGCGACACCCTGAGGACCCGTCAGGAAACTTCGCAAGCCTGCCGCGCGGGCGAAGTGGAGGGAAGTTCGAGGGATACTTAGGTCGGGCATGTCCCCCCCTACAGGAAGGGTCTTGGACGAACAAATAATCCGCCGGGAATTCCGACAATCTATGTGTATACCGATGTGCTTTTCTCTACAGGCTCTAGAGGTACCGGCGCCGCCACTCTCAAATCTCCAGCGAAATGAGTTTGTGAGTCCGTGCGTTTTTGTCAATCGGGGCGTTTGTTCCGCATGTTTGACGGACCCCGCGTCCATCCGACTTGTCAACAAATCCGCCACCGTGCCCGCTGACACGCTGGAGCGTGCTAGAATGCCAAGTGCTGTCGGGTAGGGTTTCTGTAATTCTTGAGAAGCCCCCAACCCCCTCTTCCCAAGGCTATAACGGCTGGCAAAATACAACGCATTCGCGCTCCCGAGGCCCAGATGCCTTCAAGACGGCCCAGTATAGCTCCGAGACGGATTTGACCTCATGACGGCCCTATGTGGCTTCAAGACGGCCCACGAGGCCTTCGAGGTGTTCCAAGAGAGCCACAAGAGCCTTCCCAAGAGGGCCATCATCAATCCCACAAGCCTTTTAGGGCGTGAGTGGTTTAGCGAGCTTCTTCTTTCACCCCCCGTCTTCCCCTGCGGGGAGGGGCTTATCACTGCTCCCTATTGATAAGCACCCCCTCCCCCAAGCGACTGGCAGCCAGCACGGGCCAATGAGATCCCCCCACCATCCCTCTCGAAAACAATACACATGCACTTTGCCTCCAAATCTGGCGCATGCGCGGGCGCCCCGCGACCACTTTGCATTGGTTTTTGAAAAGGGACGGCGGGAGAGCCAGCACATTGTTTGCTGCGCGAAGGGCAACCATTCCTGACAAAAACAAATACGACGTTAGCCTGGCGAAGGACCCAACCATACAAAGTTATTGGCACCGTCGTTGTATGCACCGCGTTCGGTGGAGCTCCCTATGGGGTCACGAAACGTGTTAGGGGCCTTCTCAGAAGGCGGCGGGGCTTCTCGGAAGCCCTCCAGTCCACCGGGAAGTTTTCAAAGCGTCTTCGGGGGAGGCTCAGAGCACTTCTCAGAAGGCCAGGGGACCTCCGAACCTTCTGAAATTGGTCGCCCCTTCCCTAGAAGAAGAAACAACGGCATGAGCATTAACTTTTGGCACTCAGCGCGGACTTTTCGGATCTGCGCTGGACCCCTTCGCTGGCGAGCGGAGCGCGCCAGGGGCGGCGCCAGAGTCGCCGCCTGGGAGGCCCAGCGCATCCAAGAAATCCGCGCGGAGCGCGATTTCTTCGTCGACGTCTGAGGAGAAGGCCCGCCCCTTCTCACTTCCCACCCTTGCTCGCCGCCGACAGTCGGTATTCCGACGCATCCGGCCAGGGTGCGATCCGCTCTACCAAATCACGTGGCGGACGTCTCCCCCGATCCCGGCCCCTGGGGCTCGACGCCAAAGCCCCCCGGGGCCGTCAAGTTATGCGGGCCCCGGGCGGACGGCTGGCCCGGGGAAGGGACTGGGGCCTCTGTCGGGGTCCTCATGAAGGGGGGTGACCCTGACAGGGGGCATGAGTTCGATCCGTCGTTGGTACACCGGACTGCCGCAAACAGATGCCCCCCGCATGCCCCACCCATCGGCAACTATCGGGAGCTGCCGGCGGCTGGGGGGCATCTGTTTTGGGCGGTTCGGTGCAAAAACCGATCGAACTCACACACACACACACACACACACACCAGGCCCCCCCCCCTTTGCGGGTTCCCGACTCTGGGGCCGCGCGTTGAATGCACCACATCGTCGAATGTGTGGGTGTGCCCCACCCAAATCATTAAGGCGAAGCCAGGAGAGGATAGATCGAGACTCTCTGAGATCTGGCGGCTCTGGAAGCTGTATCGGGCGCCGCGGCCTTCGTCTGAAAGCGTTCCGGAACGCGCTGGAACGGATTCACCCTCGCCCCAGCCCCGCCCCACCCGACCCAGATCCCTGACATAATGTTACGCCGCGGACCTCGAGAGGTCTGGACCCCTTCCCTCGGACCAACGTTTCATCACGAGTGGTTTGGGTTGATGGTCCCGAGGCCTGGTGCGGGCCCCTGGAGGCCCGAAAAGGCAAGGACCCCCCGTCGTGATATTTTTCTTCACGGCGCGAGAGGGACTGTGAGGAGGAGGAGGAGGAGGAGGAGGAGGAGGAGGTTGAGGAGGAGGGGGGAGGGAGGAGGAGGAGGAGTTCTGGAGTTCTGGATATAGCGACTAGGTCGGGGGGAGGAGGAGGAGGAGGAGGAGGAGGAGGAGGAGGAGGAGGAGGAGGAGGAGGAGGAGGAGGAGGAGGAGCAGCCCCTCAAATCTGGCCTTCCTGGGGCCTCCTGTGGGGGCCCTCCTCGCCACGTGCCCGGCTCCGCCCCACGCCTCCTGGACGGAACCCGCCACCGGGAGGAGAGGCCCAGGCAGGAGACCGATTTCTGACCACACCCACTTCCCGAGGTGCCTTGCGAAGAGCGGTCTCCAGAGGTGGAGGTGGGCAGTTTCCCCGCCTCAGGGGAAGGAACAAAACTACCCACTTTCCACCCCCGAGGGACTATGGTAGAATCGAGGGTCCAAAGGTGGGTGTGGTCAGAAATCGGCCGTCGACCAGGGAGTGGCGGTTTCGTACGGCAGGTTCTCGCAGCGCCGCCGCGCGCAGAGGCGTTCGACACCGCGTCGATCGTCCAGCCAGGTTGGACCCGTCGGGTTCGGCACGGTGGCGTCACCGTGTCCCTCGGGGCTTTCCGCTCCACAGATCGACGAGCGCGCTCCACTACTCGAAGAGTAACGACTCGCAAATGGCCCGGATCCACGAGAAAGTACGTCAAAGGAGACATGGTTTTCGGACGTTTGCGAGTAGGCACTTTGCGAGTAGTGGAACGCGCTCGGCGAACAGAAATCAACCTTGCAAGCCTCCGCTGGCGTCGCTGGCGCGCCAACGCCGCGTGAGCCTACCGCATCCGTGCCTCTTTGGGCCCCCCCGCAGGCGCCGTAGAGCGCGAGGGTCGCGGCGGCCAGGAGGCACGCGGGGCGGAACATGGCGCCGGCGCTGGCGTCCGCTGCCGGAGAAGCGGGGAGACGGCACCGCCACCATGGCCCAAGAGGGGCACGGCGGGGCTGGACCTCAACGTTGTCTTTGTTTAGTTTCCGTCTTGTGTTTCGTTCTGCTCGACCTGTTCTCCTATGACTCCCTGCCAGAACGAAGACAAAACACGGCCGAAGTCCAACAAACGGGGCTGACCCTGTGGGGGCGCCATGGAGGGACAGAAAACAACGACCATGACCAAGACTGAGCGCGGAAACGTCGGTGTCGATCTTGCTGTTCGTCCAGCTCGGCCAGCGTCGTGTCGAGGACCAACCTCGCAAATCGGCGGCGGCCGGCAGAGACCATGTTCAGGATCGGCGCCGACGAGATCCGGCGACCTGTCGGTCCTGGTCATCGTGCTCCTTCCCTCGGCACCAGGTCACCGAGCCGCTGCTTGCTGGCGTCCCGCTCGAGGCATCTCTCCCCACCTCGGGGGAAAGGGGGCCCTGGCGGTGGCGTCGCCTCCCGCCTCCTCCGACCCACGGAGAGCGGCGGCGGAGGCGCACCGGGCTCGGGCTGCTACCACACGCTGCACACAAAACGGCTGCGCGCGGCCCGGTCAAGAAGGAACTCCCGGCCGGTGCTGCGCCTCGCTGCGAGCCTCTGTCGGCCTCACGCCAGAGTGGCCCTATCTAGGGGGCAAACAAAGCTACCTCGCTTTTGACCACCCTCGCCTCCAAGAGATACCAAGCGATGCCAAACTGCGGCCTGTACTGGTCAGGCCGCTTGCCGAGGAGGCGCGTGGTACGACTTGGCTTTGCCCGGAAGCGACAGCGGGGTAGGTAATTCACGCTCTGACTATAGGCAAGAGGGACCTGTGGTGCGCGGCCAAGGGCGGGCCCGATGGGGGCACCACCGAGCACACACGCCGCTAGCATCGCATCGCATTCCGCGATCGGGGGGCCACATCGAGCCCGCACTAAAAGCTACCCCTGCGAAAGGCCACTCTTGCGTGTAGCCGACACTGCGAGCCGCCGGAGGAGTCCCCGGCACCCCTGCGCGTGCCCGGTGTCGAGGAGGAGGCGCCATGATCTTGTGCACGGTGCGGGCCCCCAAGCCCTCGATTCCCCAGCCAGGACCAATTTCTGCCCGCGGGGTGTTTATTTGTCCATCCGAGTGCGTGTGTGTGTGTGTGTGTGTGTGTGTGTGTGTGTGTGTGTGTGTGTGTGTGTGTGTGTGTGTGTGTGTGTGTGTGTGTGCGTGTGTGTGTGTGTGTGTGTGTGTGTGTGCGTGTGTGTGTGTGTGTGTGTGTGTGTGTGTGCTGCCGGAGCCCGATACCACGCCCAAAACGGATGCCGAGATGGAGGAAGAGCGCCCTCCGTGGGTTTCCCTGGACGTCGGAGGTCCAGGCCTCACGCACCGCTCCTCCGCCAACGCTGGTTCAAGTAACCATCTGGCTTGGCCGTTCCAAGGTATATTACTGTCTATATGCTCTCGCTCCGGACGGTGGCCGTCACTATGGACAAGTCCGGGAAGACGAAAGTGGACTCGAAGATAGGTTCGATGCCGAGGGACAAGAAGCAACAAAAAGAAGAGGAAGAGGAAGAGAAATATGAGTTACTTAGAGGGTGAGGGCATGGAGGAAGAAGATGACGAACTGAGTGCGAAACAAATACTGAAGCAGATGATGCACATGATGACGGGTATGAGGAAGGACATGAGGAAGACCATAGAGGTGGAGGAGGCTAAGGACATCGCCAAGCAGGCCAAGTACACCGCGTCCATGGCCGAGCAGGCTGTCGAGGCAACCAAGGGGGAGATGAGTAGCATGATGGAGGACTTGCCCAATATGGTGACGGATATCGTGAAAGGGGCTGCGACGCCGACGCCCAGGCCGAACGAGGGGCAGAACGGCAGGAGGAGCACGGGGAAGGAGGAAGAAAAGAGTCGCACGCTCTCTTTCGGCACGTTTCCCGAAGACACTGAGGCTAAAGATATGATCATTTTCCTCGAGGGCGTGTTGAAGGACGCGTTCAAGGACGCGCAGGCGGAGCTTGATGAAGTTTTTGCGTACGGCGAGAAATTTGCGGAAAGGGGTGGAGCTCGTTTCAAGACGGTTGACGCCATGTGGGACTACCTTGGCAAGCCCGCCGCCCGACAGAAGCACGAGTTCCAGGGCAAACGGATCTATTGCAACGCAGACTCCAAATATTATGACCACTCGGAGGAGGCGAAAAGGGAGAAAGCAGTGAGGAAGGCAATGAGGACCATCATCGACATGAACGGGGGGGACGGAGACTCCGTCAAGAAGGACATCGACACGAACTATAGGAAGGGCATTGTACTGTGGAAGGAAAAGCGTGCAGCTGTGTGGAGCGACGGTTGCATGAAGCTCGTCGGGGTCGCAGCGGCGTAGCTCTACGGCAAGGAATAGGGACCGCATAGGTCACAGGGAGGAGGAAGAGGAACGGCGGGGATGTTCCTTTCACGATTCTGCGAAACACAGGAGTGGTGAAGCCAGCAGGTCCTGTGTTGGCTGAGTCTCCGGACTTTTCGCAGGGTGCGCAGGGCATCGAGAAGGATGGACGGGGGCGAGTTCGTCGTCCTTAGCTGGAACGCGAACGGGATGGAGGAGGGCAAGACTCGAGATGCTGCCGATGTGCTGGATACGGATACGGATTCTGGGACGCGGTGGGATGTCTTATTGTACCAGGAGGGGCCCTTCGCCGAAGGCAGCACGGAGAAATGTCTGGAGTCGGGCCCTCCGTGGTGCTGTTCGCCGGCGTCTGCTGCAACGAGGCGGCGCGTCGGTATAGTACTGAACCCGAGGTGGGCGAGCCGGAGGGCCGCGGCACAGTATTGTGCATGCGGCCCAAAGTTGGCTTGCTTGGACTCCTGTTGCGGCCCAATTTCTCATCGCTTTGCTTCGGCGCACTTGTGCCACAGTGGGGCGCCAGGCGCCGGGTATTGACTCTGATGCAGATTTGCACCACGTGGAGCCTATGCTGCAGCAGGCTCGCAAACAGAAGCGTGCTTTTTTGTTCTCGGGGTGGATGCGAACGCCGTCTTGGGCCAGAGAGTGCCCGCAGACGACGGGCGAGTCATCGGGAAGTACGGGCACGGTCGAAGAGATGATCGCGGCCACATCTTGGCGCATTGGCTACACGGAGTAAAACTAATTGCGACTGCCAATTTCTTTGCAAATCCTTGGGGGCATTCGTGGACCCATCGTCTATACAGCACAGGGGAGAAACGGCAGATAGACTACAGCTTCGTGGAATCGTCGAAGCAGGACTGCGTTAGAGAGGGGGCAAGGGGAGGTTCGACGATCTGGTTTCTTGGACGCGGATGGCTGTTTTTGGCGGCCTCGGGAGGCGCCCAGACGTCTGGAGGAGGAACAAGAGGAGGACCGATGGAGATCGAGGCAAAAATGGGGAAATGAACGGAGGTCTCAGGGGGGAGTGCGGTCGGCCGCGCACCAGAGGGGGCAACACAAGGGGGGCGGGCCTTCCAGGAGGGCACCCTGCCGCTCTCAGACGCCATCCTGCGGCCTGCCCCCCAAGAGTCCAACAGGGCCTGCCGTTTAAGAGCCCTGCAAAAGACCGCCCCCTCTCGCCCTGGCCCCCGGCCGTGCAGGGGCCGTATGCTCTTCAGAGGAAGCAGGGCCATCCCCCTCGCCTTAGCCCCCTCTGTGCGCTGCCGAGAAAACAAATAATACAACAAGAAGGCTCAGACAATGAATAATACGAATCACACGAATATTAATATAATAATCCGACTAATACTAGTACTACTACTAATAATAATGCAAATGCGACGAAAAAGAGTAAGACTCATAATAACACAATAATAACAATACGATTTACGATGCAAACAATGATGATCATACTAATAGAAAGGCGAAACGTAATCAGAGTGAGGGGGCCGAACGGTCATTCATTGTCCCTGGGTGCGTGGCTGAAGTGAGATTCCGCGGTGCGGATTCGTGTTGTTGTTGTTGTTTGTTGTTGTTGTTTGTTGTCGTCGTCCCACCCGCAACCCGCCCCGCGACCCACCCGCGACCCACCCCGCGACCCACCCGCGACCCACCCGCGACCCACCCGCGACCCACCCCGCGACCCACCTCGCGACCCACCCCGCGACCCACCCCGCGACCGCACCCTGCGACCCACCCGCGACCCACCCGCGACCCACCCCGCGACCCACCCCGCGCGCGACCCACCCGCGACCCACCCCGCGACCCGCCCGCGGCCCACCCCGCGACCCACCCGCGACCCGCCCGCGACCCCCGACCCACCCGCGACCCACCCGCGACCCACCGCGCCCACCCCGCGACCCACCCGCGACCCACCTTCGACCCAAACCACGTTCAAGGTACAAACCAAATTTTCGGCGCCTGCGGCGGGCTTTTTTTGCATTCCTTCCAGGTGGAGAGCCCGCGATCAACTCGCGACCAACCCGCGACCCAAACCACGTTCAGGGTACAAACCACATTTTTCGGCGCCTGCGGCGGGCATCTTTTGAATCGTTCTAGGTGGAGAGACCGCGGCCCACCCGCGACCACGTTCAGGGTACAAACCAATTTTTTCGGCGCCTGCGGCGAGCATCTTTTGCATTCGTTCCCGGTGGAGAACCCGCGGCCCACCCGCGACCCAAACCACGTTCAGTGTACAAACCAATTTTTTCGGCGCCTGCGGCGGGCTGCTTTTGCAGGAGGACGAGGAGGAGGAGGAGGAGGAGGAGGAGGAGGAGGAGGAGGAGGAGGAGGAGGAGGAGGAGGAGGAGGAGGAGGAGGCAGCAGCAGGAGGAGGAGGAGGAGGAGGAGGGAGGGGACGACGACGATGACGTCGACGACGACGACGACGACGAAAAGGAGGAGGGTGGAGGATCGGGAGGGGGGGAAGAGGAGGAGGACGACGAGGAGGAACATGACGACAATGGGAGGACGATGATGGAAGGACGAGGGGGGGAGAGGGAGGACGAGGAAGAAGCGGAGGAGGAGGAGGAGGACGAGGTGGAGGAGGAGGACGACGATGACGATGAGAACGAGGACGAGGACGAGGAAGAGGAGGAGGAGTAGGAGGCGGAGGAGGAGGAGGAAGAGGAGAAGGAGGAGGAGGGAGGAGGAGGAGGAGGAGGAGGAGGAGGAGGAGAGCGCCATCGACAAGGAAGGTGGGGGCCACGAGGTCCGCCGGCTTGACGACGCCCGCGTCGCCCGCGCCCGCCCCCTCACTCTTATCCGCAATTGCGGGGTGTATATATAACAATATTCAGAAGAAAAACATAGCCGAAGCGAACGAGTCTCGAGACGACTCAATGCGGGGTGCACTGGGGGGCGATCGGGGCCTTTTTCGGGCACTCGCACCTTTGCCACGTTCGCCACCTGCTGCCCCCGCTCTGGCCGCCTCCCTGAGGCGGACACGCTCTATGAGCGCAGCCAGGCGAGCCTCGCGGGGCGGCACGGCGTCGGGGCCGGCCCTCCGGGAGACACTGGTGGTCTCGCCCGTCGCGGTCCGAGCTGTCCGAACCACGCGGTCGATCGGGAGGGCCGCCGAAATCTGGCGCGCCAGACCTCTATCGGGTCGGGCGAAAGGGGGGGATAGCAAAAGGGGGGGTTGAGAATCAGCTCACGTAGCTGATTTTCCCGGCGCCCCCCGGCGCCGGGAGGCGGCTATGTATCGAGGAATGGGCCCCTCGGTGAGGCCGAAACCAGCTGCGTGCAGCAAATTTCGTAACCCCCCCTTTCCCAATCCCTCCCTTTCGCCCGGCCCGACTCTATGAGGCCCGACTCCTTGCACGGAGATTTCGGAGCACTTCGGCCCCTTGCACCGTCGGGGGGGCGCCGTGCACGGCCGACGCAGCCGGGGGGGCACCACGCACTCCTGCAGAGCCAAGCCCAGCGCTGGGCAGGAGGAGGGCGAGGAGGCTCCCAGGATGGCAGCCCGCAGCGCCCCTCCCCCCCTCCTCTCCGCTCTCTTTGGCCGCGCCGCGGGGGACGAGCGTGGCGGGCGCCACTGCTGGTCTCCCCCCCCCCCGCCGACCAGGGGGGGGGCCGTGCGGCAGCCGCGGGCGTCAGCCGCCCTCCGCAAAACCCTCCGTCTCGAACCGCAGCTGCTCCGCCGGCTTGAGCGCGTGGTGGTTCTGAGGCCGCGGTCGGCAGGGCCACCGCTGGGGGCCAACAGGCGCACGCGCGAACAATGGACAATCGCGAACTACTCGCAAATGGCCTGGATGCGCCGTGGGAGATGTAGGACGCATATGATCGATGCAACCATGTTTTTTGGTCGGACATATTTTTTTGGATGCAGCTCGAGGAAACCAAAACGGCATCACCATCGCGCGGAGTTTTTCGGATCTGGGCTAGAACCCCCTCCCTGGCACGCGGAGCGCGCCAGGGGCGGCGCAGGAGGCGCCGCCAGGGGGCCACAGCGCGGATCCAAGAAATCCGCGCAGAGCGCCAACTGTTTATGTTTATGGCGGTTTGCTCTCACTCGACAGGCACACGCGCGAACAATACATAGATCTTCCAAAGACCAACAAGCAGCCGAAGCCAGCCAGCAACTGACACGTCAGGCTGCCTCTTCGCCTCTGGAAGATACGCTTGGGGGGTCTGGGTGACTGGGAGGCCTCCTTCGTGGGCGCCAGTTGAAACAGGGGCCATCTGGCTGGCTGGCGGTGCTGCCGAACTGAATTGAGCCAATGTGGAGTGTCCGATCACGCCAGATCGGGCGAGACTGGGCCGGGCTAGACCCTAGGAGATACCAGCAAGGCCAATGATCCTCTGGCCTTCCAGGAGCTGCGACACGAATCTGCCCAAGCTGTTCTTGTGCTCCCCCCTGGCACGTCAAGGTGGCCCGCCGACCACGGGGCTGGAAGTCCCACTGGTACTTCCGCTGCTGGTCCGCGTGCACCAGGCAGGTCACCAGCCCCTCCTGTCGGAGGCTGCCAGAGGTGGTTCTGGGGCCCAAGGCACCCTCCAGCATTTCGCGCTGCTTGTGTTGGGCCCCCTCGGGGGGTCTCCTTAGAAAGAAGGAAAACGGTATCAAGAACAACTTTCGGAGGCCCGCGCGGATCCTGGGACCCCCACTGGCGTTGCCTGCGGCGCCGCCCTGGGGGGTGCAGCACCGATCCAAGAAGTCCGCGCGGACATCCGAACGTTTTATATGCGACATGCTTCCCAAACATATCTGGCCTCTCCAATTGATTCGATGCGTGGGCCCCAGAGGTCTGGACAACTTCCCTACGGCCAGTGTTTCGTTCTGAATCGTTTGTGGGACGCTCCCGAGGCCCGGCGAGGGCCCCCAGAGGCCGAAAACGTCCCCAAACCCGCCGCTCCAATTCTTTTTGTTTGAGCGTCGGACCTCTGGAGTTTGATGTGCGACAGGCTTCGGTGGCAACTCGTGGGAGCCTCCCATACAATCTTGTCGGCTCCTGCGAGTCGACGCTCGTCGACGCTACATCGACGCTAGTCGACGCGAAATCGACGCTATCTCATCGACTCCCAGACGCTAATCGACGCCAACTACGGAACTAGGATTAAGTCGGGCATGTCCTCCTACAGGGGGCTTTTGGACGAAACATAAAAAATACCCCAAACATACCCTAAAGACTCAAAAAATCGCCCCCAGACTATGTTTGGACTACTTTTGAGTACTCCTCCTGTAGAGGGACAGCAGGCCCGACTCCAACCTAGGAGGCTATAGCAGGCCCCCAGTGATGTGCTGCAGAACCACCGCGGCCCCTAGGAGGGTCTAGCAGGCCCCTAGGAGGGTCTAGCAGGCCCCTCCTTCGATGCATGCCGCCGCGGAAAGGCTCGAGGGCCACCTGCGGGGCACGGGGCCGCCCATATGCGGCAGAGCCCATGGGAGTCCTGGCCGCGCCGCGCCGTCCGGCCCGCGACGTGCACCCAGGCCGTGGTGTCCTGACCAGGACTCGAGCAAAGGGGCCCGCGGGACGAGCAGACGAATGGACACAGCTCTCAGGATTCCCCAGGGTTTGCACAGTTCCTGGGCTTTCGCCGTCCCCCGCCCCCTTTCCAGATGTTCCCACATTTCCTTGGGCATCGACGATGAGTTTTTCCCCCTCCTGATCAAAACTGATCCTAACACGAAGCTAAGACGAGGATCACATCGGACGAGGATAAGTTGAATATCTCTGGCATCCAGCGGCTCTGGACGACGTCTCGGGCGCCGCGGCCTTCCCATACCATTCCAGAACGCTCTGAAAGCGTGCCCAAGCGATCTGGAACGGGTTTCTCCTTGTCCTGGCCCCGCCCGATATCCCTATCCCATCCCTGGGATCCGCAAGCCAAACACGATGACAACCTTCGGGTAAAGATGTTGGGAGGCAGCTGCTGGGAGGTCTTCGTCGGAAAGATTGAAGAAGATTAAGCCCCATTAAGGGGCTGCTACGCCGGATTCGGCCGCGAATTAAGCGGGATGAATCCAGATTTAGAGGGAGTAAGCCGGATCAAACGGGATTCAGCCGGATTTCGGACCAGGGCAAAGCCAGAATTCGACCTCCCAAGAGTTGCATCCGCAGGGATATGTGCCCTCAGAAACTGCGGGACCCCTGAAGGGCATCGGCAACGAGGTACGGCGATGCCAAACATAATCAAGGATAGGGATTTGCTTCAAGCTGGTACGCCCCCCCCTTCTCTTGGCGGCGCGCACAACGTGGTAGGGGTAGGGGGAAGGCTTCTTTGAAGGAGGCTGCTTCTCAGAAGGCGCTGGCCCGGGGATGGACAGAACCCCCTTTAGTAAAACGTGGTTTAGTGAAAAACGACCTCGTGCCCAGACCTGGCGGGCGCAAGCCTGAAACATGACGGCCGCGGCGCCCTCTCGAGAACCGATCACTTCCATTCACTAGTCGACGTGTCAGGGCGGGGGTTCTGTCCACCCCCGACTGGCCCTGGATCTGTAGATGAGGCCCGCACCATCTGGGGAGCAGGATGCTTCCAAGAAGCCCTTCCCCCCTTCCCCCTACCCCCCTTGCGCGTAGCCGATTCGGGCTGGTGGTGTCCGGGGGTACGTCCCACATGACCACGTGGCGCAGGTTCGGCAGGTCCTGGAGGGGAAGTATCGGGTCGGGCGAAAGGGGGGGATAGCAAAGGGGAGGGTTGAGAATCAGCTCACGTAGCTGATTTTCCCGGCGCCTCCCGTCGCCGGGAGGCGGCTATGTATCGAGGAATGGGCCCCTCGGTGAGGCCGAAGCCAGCTGCACGCAGCAAATTTCGTAACCCCCCCTTTCCCAATCCCCCCCTTTCGTCTGGCCCGAAAGTAAGCGGGGGCCGTGACCAAGACTTGAACGCGAAACCGCCGTGTCCACCTTGGTCGGCGTCGGCCTTGGCCAATGCCAAGTCGCGCATCGTCCTCGCGAATCGGCGACGGCCGACACGGACCATGACCACGACCGGCATTGACAAGACCACGCGACATCCTTGCAGGGCTGTAAACCCAACCCCGTGATAATCACCCCGACAAGCGAAGCGGCTTCGCAAACGCCCCCAAGGAAGGAATCGAACAGGGCAGGGCTGTTTAATGGGGAGCCCACGAAAGACGTACGCGCCCAACTATGTACATGAACACAGCCCCTCGATCCGCGAGACCGGCCACGTTATACGAACATTTGCGCAATGCGAACTCTCGAAACCAGCGTGGATTCATGTACGTGTACGTCCTTCTGTCGCTCCTGAGTTTAATAAACGCCAAGCGCCGTTTAATAAGCGCCAATTGTCGGGTCCGGGTGCTTTTCCTCCCTTGCATCTTGGTCACAGTCCCGGGAGTTTTTTTTTCTCGAGGTCCAGGCCCCGCGCCGCCGCGTCCGTGGTGGCGAGGAGGCGGACCCGGCCGCCCCGGAAGTCGCGGAGGGCCTCCGCGCGGGCCTGGGGCTCCGTGCCGCTGTGCAGCGCCCTCGGCAAGCACGACGGCAGCTTGTCCTCCAGCAGGGCGAGCACGTCCTCCACGTCCTCGGAGAGGAAGAAAGGAAGCAAACGCACCAACGGGGGAACCCAACGCTGCCAAGCTACCCCTGGGGTGGCCCGCATCGGCCAAGCTGCTTGACGAGGAAGCGCGTGGTATGCTTTGGTTGTGCCTGGAAGCGCAAGCGGGGTAGGTAATTCACCCTCTGAGAAAAAGCAGCTGCATGAACAGAAACTTTCGGAACTCCGCGCGGATTTGGTGGATCGGCGCGGAACCCCCCCGACGGCGAGTCGTATCCAGCGCAGATCTAAAGAATATACGCGAACCTCTGAAAACGTATGTTCATGCCTTTGATTCTGATCCGAGACCTGCGGCGTGGCGCAGAAGACCAGCGTCCCGCCGCCGCTGAGGAACTCGTCCGCCAGGGCCTCCTTCAGCACGAAGAGCAGCTTCGCCCCCCGGTCCCCGCGGTAGTAGTGGTGCACCTGCCGCAACGTCGGGACGAGGACGCCGGTGTGCCGCACCTGCTGCCGCCCGGCGCTGCTCGCCGCCCAACTCGACACGCGGCGAGCGCCCGTCGCGCGCGCGCGCCACGCGTGCGCGCTGCTGTGCCGCACGCGCGCGCGGGGGCGGGCAGATATGCATAGCTGCTGCTCCCCGAGACCCCCGGGGCACTGATCCCGCGGCAGTGGAGACGGGCACATTCCGGCGGCGCACTGGCGAGGATGCTGGCGACGGTGATGACGGCCATCGTGATGATGAGGGCCAGAGCAGAACACAGACAGCTGCACAAGCATGGATTTTCGGAGATCCGCGCGGGTGTCTCGGATCGGCGCTCGGAGCGCGCCAGGGTTAGGGCGGACATGTCCCCCAACAGGCGGATTTTGGATGAAAAGTTAACAAATAGTCCAAACATATTTCAAAATGGTCAAAAATACTGAAGACATCGTCCCCAGACTATCTTTTACTATTTTGGAAGATCCCTCCTGTAGAGGGACACGCCCGACTTAACGACAGGGGGCGGCGCCGAGAGGGGAGGCGTCGCCCATGGGGATGGAAGCGCCGAGCCAAGACACCCGCGCGGACCTCCACAACAACTGTTTTCTTCGTTCTGATTTGACCCCTCCGATGGTGGAAACCATGGTGATGATAGCGTTGGGTCGGGCATGTCCCCCTACAGGCGGAGTTTGGACAAAGAGTCTAAAAAGCCCAAAACATGTTCAAACATTGTCAAAAAGGTTATAACAATTGTCCCCAGACTGTCTTTGACTATGTCCGAATATTCCTCCTGTAGAGGGACATGCCCGACTTATTGATAGCAATGCTGATTAGATTCTCTACTCATCTCACGGAGGCCTCTGGGGCCGAAACAGACGAGTCAGAAGGTCCCCGAGCGATGGGCAGCCCCACCGAACTCTGCGGCTGGCGAGCACGATCCTCCTGGTGGGGCACAGGCCCAGCCGCCGGACAGACCGACGGCCCAGTGATGACCATGATGATGCTGTGACTGGTAACGATGATGACACCAGCGGTGATGTTGTAGTTACAGGGGGGGTCAAGTCCATACGGAGGAGGTCCATACGGAGTGCTCCGTCCCCGTCTGGGCTTACCCCGTCTGGACCCAGCCCCTCCAAATAGGGTGATAAGTCCATGCGGGGGAAGTCCATACGGAAGGCTCGGTCTCCGCACGGACTCACCCCGTCTGGACTTGGCCTCTCCTGATTCTTCGACGTCGTGGGACCTGCTGCAGCGCCGGGAACCGCCGCACCAGCGCGTCCTCGCGGTCCGACCTCAGGTGCGCCATGGTCAGAAGCACCTGCGGCGGCTCTGGCTGCTCCTCCAGTCGCCTCGGGAGGAGGCAAGGAGCAGGGAGGAAGGGGGGGCGATGAGGAATCATTGGGCGATGACGAGGGAGGGGCGAGGAGGAGGAGGAGAAGGACGAAGGAGAGGGGGAGCAGGAGTGAGATAATGTAGGGGAGGAGACTGTAGGACAAAGAGGGGGAACGAGGATAAAGGAAGAGGATGACAAGGGGGACCAACATCAGCAGTAGCAGAAGGCGGAAGATGAGGGGCATGGTGAGAAGCAGGAGGAACAGGACAGGATAAGATGATGAACGAGTCGCGGCCAAGAACGAGGAACGCGATGAGTAGTGGGAAGATGAACATTAGGTGTTATGGGAAGACTTGTCTATCGAAGAATTACCCGGGCCAACCCGCTGGCCAACCCTCCTCGGCAACGCAATGCGAGTTGGAAGCGAGCGGGCATACTCGGATTGAACCTCCCAGTGTCAACGCTGGCAGCGCGATGGCCATCAAGTGCGAGCGGGTACGTTTGGAGTGCGCTTCTTGGCAAGATCCTTGGCAACGGTGCTGGCCATGAGACGTGCGTTGTGAGCGAGCTGGCACGCTTAGGAAAAAACACTTCCTGCCGACAGCGTTGGTAATGCGATGTGTGATGCCCGCGAGCCGGCGCGCTTGAAGCGCGTGTCCTGGTAGCAATGCTGGCAGCGCGAAGTGCACTGGAAGCGAGCCAGCTCGCTCGCGAAGCTTCGAGCCGACTGGATAACAACGGGCCAACCAACCAAGCACTGAGGAACGCGACGGCACGAAGCCATCAGGCTATGGCGAGGTGGCACCGACCAAATGACGTCGCAAATCCTGGCTAGAACAAGCGAACATATACGACCGTCGATGGAAGAACCCACAGGCCGTCAATAACTGCATTGACATACGCAGGTTTCGAGGAGGAAGGGAGGAGGAGAGAAATGTAACAAAATATGCGGCGCCGGCTCATGGCTTTCGGGACCGAGGGGGAGGGGGGTGAATTTTGGTTTAGCAAGTGTAAAGCCACCACTGTCACCCAAGACGGTGGCTCTACCAAGGTTCTGGCACGCTGGAAAGGCATCAAGAAACTTGCTTGGATGAGTGCAGGTAGGTGGACACGCTCCTCCGTGGAAGACTGAACCATGGAATAGCCTAGAGGAATCGAGAGTCCGCCGACCCCCGCTTGCTGGGGGTGAAAGGGGATGCGAGATAATTGGCTGTCCCCCTCCTCCTCCTCTCTCTCTCCCCTGGGGTCCAAAATGCCGTTTGGGTGGGAGGGGGGGTGGGGGGGCACGAGCTCGTCAGTGCACACCTGGGTGCTTTCGTAGCCTCCAAAGAGCCCCAAGAGGGACCAGACAGGGCGCCAAGACAGTCGAAGAGAGCGTCGAGACTGCCCAGAGTAGCCCCACGACGACCCAAGATGACTTCAAGACAGCCACCAAGGCCCCCAAGACGGCCCAGAAGTGTTCCAAAAGGACTGCCAAGAAGGCCCCGAGAGGCAACAATCGTCCCAGCCTCATGGGAGAGAACTTACGTTTTTAGCACACTCGCAATTTTCGTGTTGACAGCTCCGAAGACTTCCCAAGCAACCCCCAAGATCGTCTAAAGACGGCCGATGAGGCCCCCAAGAGGGCCCCAAGACGGCCCAAGAGGGCCATGAGATGGTCCCAGGGGACCCCAGTACGGACAAAGGGAACCCCAAGAGGGCCCCAAGAAAGCCCAGGAGGGGGAACACGAAGCGATATTTCGAGCTGTTCCCCCAAAGATGGCCCCAAGAGCCCCCCAGACGCCCCCAAGGCCCCCAGACGCCCAATAAGCTTTCCAAACACTCCCAAAAGTCTTCCCAGAGGCCCCTGAAAAGCATCCCACGGGACCTCATATTTATCCAAGAGGCTCCTGACCCACAGCCCAGGCGCGGTGGCGTTTGGGCCGAAGGCCACTCGATAACTCCCACGATCGTCGCAAGCTCTGACTCTTTCTGGGGGTCGGCGGAATGGCGTAAGCCACTTGAATAAAGAAGGGGGATGTGGGGTGTACATTGTGATGCCGTTCTAGCCTCAGAATCGTGGCTACATCCCAACTCCGAGTCAAGACTGGGAGGCGTCTTTTCATGCTGCTCAGCGGTCGAGAAAGCAGCAGGATGGCCGATGCAAAGATAGAACAACACACGCGCGTCTGCCCTGAGTGCTGACGACGTCGCGACTCCGGCCCAAAAGGATGCGCGTGATCTTCCCTACCCGTGATGCCACAAAGTTGTCGAGACGACGTGGCTGAGATCAGCCAAAACAATACGTGAGATTTGAAAGAAGAAATGACGCCATGAACACAAATTGTTGGCGCTCCGCGCGGATTTCCTGGATCTGCGCTGAACCCCCCCCCCCCCGCGCGCAAGGCGCGCCAGGGTCAGGACCCCAGGCGCCGATCTAAGAAACACGCGCGGAGCGCCGCAAGTTTACGTTTATGGCGTCGGTCTGCCTTCGGCCAACGGAAAAGGTGTCGAAGCGGGGACGAGCTCCCGGCTCCAAGCTTTCTTCAAAAGGGGGCACTGGCACTGCCGCCTGACCGACGCTCGCGCGCGCGCGAAAGAGGGGCCGCCGCCGCCGCCGCTGTGTGGCACGGTGGCGAGGGGCCTCGCCGGGGGGCGTCAAGGGAGGGTCGTCAAAGGAGCGTGCGATGGGCGGAGCTCAAACTAAGGAGTGCCCACGGGGTGAGGGCGAGGGAGGTGGAGGAGAGGGAGGCGTCGGAGAAGAGGAGAGGAGGCGGAAGGAAGGGGGAAGGGCCGATGAGGCGCGGACGCCTCTATGAAGGCGAGCGGCCTCACTGGGGACGTCCAAGGTCGCCCAATTGTGTGCGAGGGCGGAGCTCAACTTGGAAATGCCCATAGGGTGCAACGCCGATGGCATGTTGAGCAACAGACCTGCAGGAGCACGGACCAACACTGGGCCCTTCTGGGCCTTCAAAATGTAGACAAGCTTCTTACCCGTCTTGGAGTGCTTGCCTGCTTGGACGGCATTGATACTATATCGCTGCCGCTATTAAGCAGGCACAAGGGAAGAGGAGAACAACGGAAGGAAGAGGGGACATGCTGGTGAGGCGAGGGCGCCCCTGTAGAGGCACTTACGCTCGTGTGAGCAGGAGCGTGCCCCCTAGATTGGCCTCATACACAGTGGTTATTCTTCCTCATCCTCATGTGTTTCTTCCTCCTCCTTCTCTTCCTCGTGCCCCTCATAGTCTTCCTCCTTCTCCCCCGCCTGTTTACCACTCTTATCCTCCTCGTCCTCCTCCGCATCATCATCATCGTTCCTCTCTGCCTCCTCCGTATCCTTGTCCTCCCCTCCCCCCCTTGCCCTCCACCTTCACCCTCTCCCCTCCTCCTCCTCCTCCTCCTCCTCCTCCTCCTCCTCCTCCTCGTCTTCCTCTCATCCACTCATCCTCACTCTCTCGTTCTTCTTCCCTCCTCTTCCTCCTCCTCCTCCTCCCCTCCTAGGGGACGCACAGAAACATACTACTTCTATATGAACTCCTTAGAGGCGCGCGTCCGACCCGAAGACATCGTATGCCCATCTTGTAGTAGATTCGTTTCCCGAGCGGTGTGGCCAGAAAGCGACCGCCACGACGCATATACTATAAGACTTCTCGGTGCGTGCGCCGCCCCTGGGGTAGTATTGTTCCCAACCCTCCTGCGTTGGGTTCTCGTTTTGAATACAGCACTGCTCGCGCGTCTCCTGTCTTCCTTCCCGCCCCTCTCTTCCCCCTTGCCTTTTGCCTCGCTCGTCGCTGCGTGCCAGCTGGGGGGCTGCGATCTGCGAAACGGTCGCCACTTTCGAGGCCTGCTGGGGGGCCCAACACAGTGGGTACACACGGCGGATTGAAATTGGACCTCGCCATCCCTGGGGGGCTGCGATCTGTGAAACTGTCGCGACTTTCGAGGACTGCTGGGGGGCCCAGCGCAGTGGGTACACACGGCGGGTTGAAACTGCACCTCGCCATCCCTGGGGGGCAGCGATCTGTGAAACTGTCGTCACGTTCGAGGCCTGCTGGGAGGCCCAGCACAGTGGGTACACACGGCGGATTGAAATTGTATCTCGCCATCCCTGGGGGGCTGCGATCTGTGAAACTGTCGCCACTTTCGAAGCCTGCTGGGGGGGCCCAGCACAGTGGGTACACACACTTTCGAGGCTGCTGGGGGGCCCAGCGCAGTGGGCACACGGCGGATCAAATTGACCTCGCCATCCCTGGGGGGCTGCGATCTGTGAAACTGTCGCCACTTTCGAGGCCTGCTGGGGGGCCCAGCACAGTGGGTACACACGGCGGATTGAAATTGACCTCGCCATCCCTGGGGGGCTGCGATCTGTGAAACTGTCGCCACTTTCGAGGCCTGCTCAGTGTGAAACCTCGCCATCCCGCTGCACTGTCGCCACTTTCGAGGCCTGCTGGGGGGCCCAGCACAGTGGGATTACACCTCGCCATCCCTGGGGGGCTGCGATCTGTGAAACTGTCGCCACTTTCGAGGCCTGCTGGGGGCCCAGCACAGTGGGTGGACGATCTGTCGTCCTGCTTGGGGGCTGCGCCATCCCTGGGGGGCTGCGATCTGTGAAACTGTCGCCACTTTCGAGGCCTGCTGGGGGGCCCAGCACAGTGGGTACACACGGCGGATTCAAACTGGACCTCGCCATCCTTGAGGGGCTGCGATATGTGAAACTGTCGCCACGTTCGAGGCCTGCTGGGGGGCCCAGCACAGTGGGTACACACGGCGGATTGAAACTGTACCTCGCCATCCCTGGGGGGCTGCGATATGTGAAACTGTCGCCGCGTTCGAGGCCTGCTGGGGTGCCCAGCACAGTGGGTACACACCGCGGTCTCACATTAAACCTCGCCGCCCCTGGGGGGCTGCGATCTGTAAAACTGTTGCCACATTCGAGGGCTGCTGAGGGGCACAGCACAGTGGGTACTCACCACGGACTCAAATTAGACCTCGCCATCCCTGGGGGCTGCGATGTGTGAAACTGCCGCCACGTTCGAG